GCTAAAGGTATTGCAATCGGATACAATCATTTGGAAAACTATTTGACCATCCAAACCTAAGCCATGAATGTTAAAATGAAAAGATCTAGAAAATAATATAAAATTAAGAAATAGATATTGCAATGTAATAGGTACCAAAAATTCAAGCTGAACTCATTGTTGCTGAGTTGATACCAACTCAAAAATACCCTCCCATCAGGTCTCCAAGGCTATATATTTTTAAGAGATGAGGCTGCCCTACTTTCTGCTGTGGAGTAGTGGTGGATTTGAACCACTGACCTTTTAGCTAACAGTTCTACCTACTAGGCATTCTACCACTAAAGCTTAATACAATATATTTAACAAAACCCCCAAACCACCCCAAACTCAAATTCATTGCTTTTAAGCTGAGAATAACTCTGGCACATTTCCAAGGTTGTAAGCAGCACAGAGGAGACTGCCTATCTTACAACTGAGGGACTACTGGTGGAGAGGAGCTGATAAAGTGCACACTGCCTTTGTGTTTCATATTTAAAAAAAATAGAAATTGATATTACTAATAGGTATATATAACAAAAGCAGGACAGGAAAGACTCCTAAATTTATGATGGCAATGGCTTTATGGGATTCATAAATTTGTATGACTTTAAGAAAAATATTGCATAGGGCCACTGTTGTAAAATGGGACTGACATCGGGTTTGAGGGTAGACAGAGAAGGAGGGGAGGAATGATGTATTAAAAAAGATGAGGGAGAGAACTGTTTAAAAGGGATATATAATTGGGTATAATTGTCATGACAGGAGTCCAGAATGAAGGCTTCATAGTGAAGTGGACTTGGGGGGAGGGACTGCATAACAATGAAAGAGTTTTTCTTTTACTTTTCAAGAAGAAGACTTAACTGGGGTGGGGGGGAGGTAGGCAGGGAGAAAAGTGCAACAATGAATGACTGAAAACCCTAAGTCTCTATAAACTTTCATTAAAATTAATTTTTTAAAAAGGATGTGGAAATGGAAAGAGGAACAATGGGCACTTTAATTTTATGAGAACTTTTTTAATTAATATAACCAGAAATAAATACATAAACATGTTTTTATCCACTTGCTAACGAACATAAGTTCATTAAAATACTCCTTTTTTAATTAATTTCTTCTCAAACTCAAAATACTTGCCTTAAGTGCACAACTGAATGTTTTTTCAAAGTAACCAAAGTCCCAATTAAATTAGACTTATGAACAACAACTTTGCTTTTAGCAACTTATCAATGTCACTGCATCTACGGTTACTTTTTTTTAGCTTTTCAAAATTGAAAACATAAGTTGCTACTTCTGCATAAAAGGATCATCTTCTCTAACTCAGTGTCACAATTTGGAGTGACACACATTTATATTAAGGACATGGGTTACTTTTATTTTTATCCCTATATATACATACTGTTTTTGTTATGTGCTGCCAGCTGCTTCATACTCATATGACCCTATGTACAATAGCTCTGAACCCTGCTCTATCCTGAGTCAACGTTGTAGTCTCCAGTATACTCAACTCCCATTACCCCAGTCACTGAGTCCATCTCATCCAGGGTCTTCCTCTCTTGCATTGTCCCTCCACCCTTCCAAGTTCTTTGCCAAGGACTGGTCCCTCCTTGTAACATGCCTAGAGTATGTCAGATGAAGTTTCAGAATCCTTGCCTCCAAGTCTGGTTTCACCTTCTCTAGGGCAAACTGTCAGTACTCTTCTCCAGCACCACAGCTCAAAGGCACCAATTCTCTGTCATTCCTAGTCATTGTCCAGCTTTCTGATGGATAGCAAGTGTTTGCAAAGACCATGGCCTGTATCAGGCACATTATCTCTGTAATTAAAACCTTATTATACTTGATTTCCCAATTCATAACAATGCATTGTGCCCATTACTCATTTAACTGGAATAAGCTGCCTCCCAGTTTGACAGGAAAGGAAAGTTCTCTGCCTTCAAATGCCTTTCACAGTTGTCCTGGCTGTCATTTTAAAGACATCTTTTAACTTTTTTTCATTTCCATTCATTCACTGTTGTACTTTTCTCCCTGCATACCACTCCCCCCCCAAGTACACTCTTCTCTTTGAAAATTAAAAGAAAAATTCATTATTTTACAGTCCCTTCCCCCAGGTCCACCCCACTATGCAGCCTTCGTTCTAGACTCCTATCATTACTATAATACCTGATCACATATCCCTTGTAAACAGTTTTCTCCCTCATCTGTTTCAATGCAGTAAACATTATTTATCCCATCTTTCTCAGTCCTCCCTAACCCCAAAGTCAGTCTTATTTTACAACAGTGGCTCTATGCAGTAGTTGTCCTTTTGTGACTGAGATACTTCACTCAGCATAATGTCCTCTAGGCTCACCCTTTTTGAATAATATTGCATGAGTTCCTTGTTTTTCAATGCAGCATATAGTATTCCATTGTGTGACTATACCACAGCTTCTCAATCCATTCATTTGTTGTTTCCAACTCCTTGCTATTGTGAACAAAGCCATGATAAACATGGGTGTGCATATATTTGCTTGGGTGGCAGTCTCTTTGGGGTATAATCCCAGTAGTAGAATTCCTGGGTCAAATGCTATCTTTACTTGCAACTATTTGAGAAACCGCCATACACCTTCCACAGTGGTTGCACCATTTTACACTCCCTCCAACAGTGAATAAGGGTTCCAGCTTCTCTATAACATCACCAGCATTTGTTGCTTGCTGTTGTTCTGTTAAATTTTGCTGTTCTTACTGGGGTGAGATGATCTCTCATAGTTTTTTGACATCTTTAACTTTTTAAAAATCAAAATGTATCTATGCGTAATATTTCCATGTTAAACAAGATATGGTAAAGATGAAATATGAATGGACATCTTTTCTTTTAAACCAATAAATGGTTAGATCCAACAAACAGGAAATACATTTTTACAAATACCAAGATTTACTTATGCATCTTAAATATCATGTAGGAGCCTTGGTGGAATGCCTATTAAGCACTCATCTACTGACAGAAAAGTTGGCTGTTTGAAGACACCTCGTAGCTCCATAGGTCTGCTCCGATAACAATTATAGCCTAAAAAATTCTATGTTTCACTTTGTCAAAAGGGGGCAGGAGTCATTTTAAGTTGTAAAGGGAACTCTGGTGGTATAGTCCATAGGGAGTTGTGCTGCTACTCCAGAGACGGCATATCTTTTGTGGATCAAATCACCATGAGGGAGAAGTTTTGGGAGTTTTGTTTGCTAAGTCACAATGTGACTTGATGGCACCTACCAAAAGTTACATCTGAATAATAGCATTTTCTGTTTGTAAGGGGTTTTAGCTGAATATATCTATGTTTCATTGACTATGCAAAGGCATTTGACTGTGTGGATCATAACAAACTGTGGTTGACTCTGAGAAGAATGGGAATATCAGAACACTTGATTGTGCTAATGAGAAACCTATACTTGGACCAAGAGGTAGTCATCAGACCAGAGAGCAAGGAAACACTGCATGATTCAAAACTGAGAAAGGCGTACGCCAGGGATGTGTTCTGTCTCCATACCTTTTCAATCTGTATGCAGAACAGATTATCCAGAAGGCTGGGCTCTATGAGGAGCAACGTAGGGTCAAGAATGGTGGATGATCTATCAACAATCTGCGTTATGCAGATGACACAACCCTGCTTGCTGAAACTGAGGAGGACCTAAAGTGCTTGTTGCAGAGGGTCAAGGACTGCCTCCAATATGGATTGAGGCTCAATGTCAAGAAGACAAAGATTCTCACCACTGGGCCAATTGGCAGCATCAGGATGGATGGTGAAGAGACTGAGATTTACACAGCTTTCACTTGCTTGGCTCCACAGTCAACGGTCTTGGCACCAGCAGCCAGGAAATTAAAAGGCGCATTGCCATGGGAAAGTCTGCTGTTAGGGACCTCTCCAAAGTACTGAAGAGCAATGGTGTCTCTCTGGAGACCAAGGTGTGACTGATACAGGCTATGGTCTTTGCTATTACTTGTTATGCATCAGGGAGTTGGACAATGACCAAGGAGGATAGGAGAATTGATGCCTTTGAGCTGTGGTGCTGGAGAAGAGTATTTGAAGGTACCATGGATTGCTAGGAAAACAAACAGATTCATCCTGGAAAGGGTCAAACCAGGTTGCTCCTTGGAGGCAAGGCTGCTGAGGCTCCGTCTAACATACTTGGACATGTTGCGAGGAGGAACAGGTCCTTGGAGAAGGACATCATGCTTGGTAGGGTGGAGGGACAGCGCAGAAGGGGAAGACCGTCTATGAGGTGGACTGATTCAGTGATTGGGGTAATCCGGATGGGTGTATTGGAGACGGTGCAGATGAGTTGACAATACATAACAACAACTATTACTAAAACTTGTCTACCATTAGTGACCCTTATGGCATTGGACACACCAGTAGAACAGCTTTCAGTATCACAGTAAACTACAAGAGCTCCAAAGAGCCTACAAAAATCTAATCAGGTTTTTTAGCATTATGTTCTGATAGAACTATCTACACTCAATGAAAAAAAGACCTTTTTAACATTAAGAAGTAAATATCAAGTAGATATTCAATAGATGCTTTTTGATTATTTACGCAAAAAAAAGTTTGAAAGCACAAAAAGTTATATCTAAATGACTGACAGCTTAATCACTTTGGATATCTTACATGGCTTAACGATTTCAAAATTCATTCCTCTTCTATGAATGTATATTTATTTAATAAAGTGAGTATCAATTAATCCTTAATGTCTACTCAAAGATGGCAGGTGATCAAATAATCATGGTGGATACAGCATGCCATTCCCACCTCACCCCATTCCCACCAGCAAAGGCCCCTATTAAAGATCTTTATCACTCAGTAAAAAGAATGACTTTAAATGAAATTTTGGTATATAAAACTCAATATTAAAGTTCTTTTTGAGGCAACTATTTTCATTATGTGATTAAAAATTTTGAAAATATGTACTTTGTGAGGCAGCGCTTTTATACGCTAAACTGAGCACTAAAGTAGAACTCGTACCTGTAATGTACATGTGTGACTGTTGGTTTCCTGTAGCCAAGGATCCAAGATTGAATATCTAAGGGTTCAGCTTTGGGATAAGCTATTGTAGTATCTATAACCCACTGGAGGCCTTTTGAGTTGCTGCCTAAGAAAAAGAAAAATTATATAAAACTGGGTCAATTTTTATATATTTGCAATAAATAACATGACAGTGTACATGAGCAAAACATACTATCATTTACTTTAAGAAAATAGGAGGGATTTTGATGGTACTGTTTTATATAATGCATTTAAGATAAAATTTAAGCATGTTCATTTCATAAAAGGGGCTAATCTCAAACAAATGAGCAAATAACAGCACTATTATTTGTGGTCCTGCATCATTCAAGTACATTTACTTTTTAAAACACAATTACAATACAATATTATGGGAGCTTTGGTGACCTAGTGGCAAGAAGTTGTGCTGCAATCTTGAAGGCACACAGTTTGAGGCCACCAGCTACTCCATAGAAGGATGAGAAATCACGGGCACTCTCCTTCCCTGAAAACCTGCCAGTGGGTCAGATGTAGGTCAGTTCCGAGTCTATGGTACAGATTTGTATTTTGTTACTAATTAAAAAAAAAAAACAACAACCCAAAACACAACAAACCAGACCTATGAAAAAGACAGATGCTAAAACATTACATCACACACCAATCAAAAACAGCTTGCAAAACAAAATAAATCCAATCACTAAATAGAATGATAAAAAGTCCAAGATTTGTTAAACTGGGAAACACATACTAGAAGAAGGTAATAAAAGTAAGCATTTTATTAATAAGAAAATTGCTGGTTGCTGTTCTTGTTCAAAAGAAAAATAACACCTCCAATTATCAAGAACTGTTGTGGTGGTGGTGGTTGTGTACCATCGAGCAGGAACAGTCCCATAGCTGACCTTCCAGCAGGTTTTCAGAGACAGTAATCGCACAGGAGGAGATTGCCCATCCTTCTCCTCAGAGCAGGTGGCGGATTCGAACCACATGCCTTCAGGATTGCAGAGCAGATTCTTACCATTAGGCCATCAGTGCTCCCTATGTAATTCATAAGAATTACAAGTACTAAGCCTTCTAACCCTTTAGAAAGTATTACAGGTAAGGAGTGTTTGGGACAGAGAAAAGAAGTTTTCTTTCTTTTAATCCTGTTATACATTGCTTCATTCCTAGCAATGAGTACAAAGTTGTGTAGGTGAATCTTCATAGACAACGCAGGCTGTTGATGAGTCTTCCTACAATCTTGATGTCACATTCCTCCTCAGAGTCCAGCCTCCCGGATCATCTGTTCCACATATAGATGTGGAGATAGGATGCATCCCTGAAATACACCTTTCCTGATTTTGAACCATGCAGTGTTTTCTTGCTCTGTTCTGATGACTGCTTCCTCGTTCAAGTTTGCTATTGAAATTAGCATTCTTCACAGAGTAACACATAGTTTGTTGTGACCCACACAGTCAAATGTCTTTGCATAGTCAAGGAAACAAATATGTTTCTCTGGAACTCTCTGCTTTCAGCTAAGATAAATCTAACGTTGGCTATCACGTCCCTAGTGCCACAGCCTCATCTAAACCCAGCTTGCCCAGCTGGCCGTTTCCTGGCGATGTGCTGTTCTAGTTGTTTTTAGATAATTTTCAGCACTATCTTGATGAAAATAAATTACATGGTTCGTTAATTTCCACACTCTATCAGGTCACCTTTGTTTGGAATGGGAATAAATACAGATGTCTTCTAGTTCATAGGCCAGGTGGTTGTCCACCAGATTTCTTGGCACAACCTGGTGAGCACATCCAGGACAGCATCTGTTTGTGAAATATGTCAACTGGTATCCTTCATCACCATAGGTTCTTGATCATATGTTGTTTCATTAAATTCTTCTCTGTCAGCCAATTCTTTTTGGTATAGTGACTTTTGATGCTTCCTGGGTCATTCAGCATTCTGGCCCCAGCATCCTTAAGTATTGCAACTGAAGGCTTGAATTTGTTCTTCAGCTTAAGAAATGACCGAGTTCATTTTTTTTTTTATTTTCTAACTCTAGCTCTTTGTACATTTCATTATAAAATTTTGCTTTGTCTTACCTTGCTGCCCTTTGAAATCTTCTGTTCAGCTCCTTCACATCTTGATTTCTTCCATTTGCTTTGGGTTCTTGATGCTCTAGTGCAATGTCCAGAGTCTCTTCTGACATCGATTTTTGTCTTTTCTTGTTTTCATAATGCAGGTCTTTGTAATAACCTTTTGTATTCTTCATGGATGATATTCTTCATATCCTCCCACAGCTCATTTGGTCTTTACTCCTGTAGCATTTAAGACTGTAAATCTGTTCCTGATATGGTCTTTAAATTCAGGAGGGATAGACTCAAGGTCAAATTTGGGTTCTTGTGGATCTGATTTTATTTTGCTTCAATTTGAACATGCATATAGGTAGTTAATGATCTGATCCACAATCAGCACCGGGCCTGGTTTTCACAGCTGATACTGAGCTTCTTCAACAATTTTTCCCAAATATGTATCAGTGTGATTCCTGTGTAGGCCGTCAGGTGAGGTCCATGTGTATAGCTGATTGTACAGAATTCTATCGTTCTGTCTCCAGTCTAATTTCTGTCATCAAATTCATGTTTCTCAACACTGATCCTTCTTCCTTGTTCCCACCTTTTTCATTCCAGTCACCCATTATTACAAATATATCTTGGTTACATGCTCAATCAATTTTCAACTGGAACAGTTAAGTCATCTAGTTCTTTCTCTTTTGCTACAATTGTTGGTGTATAAATTTGAATGACAGTGCTATTAACTGGTCTTTCTCATATATGTATGGATATTATCCTGTCCTTCACAACAATGTATTTCAAGATGGATCTAAAAATGGTCTAACTATGAAAGCGACCTCATTTTTTCTCATCTTTTCATTTCCAGCATAGTTGATCACATGACTGTCTGATTCAAAACGTCTCATGTCAATCCACTTCCATTTTGCCAACCCCTACTCTCGTATGTCAATATTTATGTATTACATTTCTCCTTAACAATCTCCAATTTTTCTACATTCATACTTCCAATTCCATATTCCAATTCCATATTCCAATTCCATATTCCAATTCCATATTCCAATCACTAGGGTCTGTTTGCAACTGTTTCTCCTCTTTTGTGATTCCCAATATGAAGGCTCAGCCTACGGTACTATATCTGCTAGTCTAATCTAAGTGTGTTCATAGAGTTTTCAAAGGCCTGTTATTTAGGAAGCAGATGGGTCATCCTGATTCCTAGTCTGTCTTAGTAAGGGAGTTCCAACAAAACATGTCCAAATGTCATTTGACACGCTAGTGGCACAGATTTCAGTATCACAACCCCCAAGTCACCTCAGTACAGCAAACTGACAGACAAGTGCTGCACCAATTAGAACAACGTTCTCCTCAACCAGTTAACACCAGGCTTGAAGGCTGCAGGCCCTCTGCCCTAACCGGCCTTTAAATACCAAGGCCTGCCCACTAGGTCCACAGGTACTGAAGAGCAATGGTGTCACTCTGGAGACTAAGGTGCGCCTGATACCGGCCATGGTTTTTGCAATCACTTGTTATGCATCAGAGAGCTGGACAATGACTAGGGAGGATAGAAGGAGAATTGACGCCTTTGAGCTGTGGTGCTGGAGAAGAGTATTGAGAATACCATGGACTGCTAGGAAAACAAACAGATTTGTCCTGGAAACGGTTAAACCGGGTGGCTCCTTGGAGGCAAGGATTCTGAGGCTCCGTCTAACATACTTTGGACAAGTTGTGAGGAGAGACCGGTCCTTGGAGAGGGACATCATGCTTGGGAGGGTGGAGGGACGGCACAGGACGGGAAGACCCTCTATGAGGTGGATTGATTCAGTGACTGGGGTAATCGGCATGGTTTTGTCAGAGGCAGTGCAATTGGCACAGGATAGAGTAGGATTTACGGCTGTTGTACAGTAGGGTCGCTATGAGTCACAAGCGACATAACAACAAATACTAAACAAAATAAAATGTAGATCCTAAATTGTAGACCAAAAAAAAGTAAGTGCTCGCTTCGGCAACACATATACTAAAATTGGAATGATACAGAGAAGATTAGCATGGCCCCTGCGCAAGGATGACACGCAAATTCGTGAAGCGTTCCATATTTTTAAATAAAGAAAAACCAGGAAAAAAAAGTAAAACTAATTTCCTGATATATAGCTCCTAGAATTTATTATTTTCCTAAGCAGATTTAATAAAAATGTTTAACTAAAACAAAACAAATAACAAATTGCTTTGGTTATAAATATTTTTTCTTTCTCCAAAGAGAAAGCTTTTTTATTTCTTCACTCTTATAAAAGTAATAAAACAATCACCTCTATGGCTGGGTGAATTCTGTAAAATACAGCAGTCTTTATTAGTGTAAAGGATCCTATTTGGACAACTTTTACCTTCAAGTTTTGACTTGACTGACAATGCCACAATGTGCAGCAGAGCTATTCTAAACTTTCATTTTCTATTAAAAGACTCTTTCAATTTGTCTTTTTAATAGATGATGAAAGATTAAGAAAGCTGACTGCCAAGCAGTTGCATGAGGGAGGGGGAAGAATTGAAAGAGAAACTCTTTCTCTTATTTCTACATCTGGCGCTTACTGCCATTGAAAAACACATTTCTGAGCATGGAACACTCAATACTTTTACTTCCCTAGAGAATATTAGAAGGGCAAAATGCTACTAAGAAATGTGGCTAATATGTTTCTTTATCTTCTTAATTTATAATTTATCACCAAACTGTCATAGCAATGTGTTAGGTAAACTTGTTCAAAATGTGTTCAAGATGCTGGCACTGGCACAAGTATTTTCTCCAAAATAGCCAAGGCTTGTTCCACGATATTTGCTTTTCATAGGGTGGCCTACCTTTATCAGATCATAAAAGGAATACAAGCTCATCGTTGTTGTTGTTGTTGTTGTTATGTGCCGTCGAGTCACCGGCGACTCACAGCAACCCTAAGTACAACAGCCCTAAACCCTGCTCTATCTCTTGCCAACATTGACTCTGACACACCTATCCCCATTACCCCGGTCATTGAATCAATCCATCTCATCGACGGTCCTCCTCTCCTGCACTGTCCCTCCACCCTCT